TTTTTTTTTTTTTGGTACCAGGGATCAAACTCAGGCCCTCGTGCTTGTGAGACAGGCGACGGAACCACTGAGCTAAATCCCTGACCCAACAAAAAGTTTTATGCAACAATTACATAAGGGTATTTTCAGAAAACCAACAGTACTTGTTCAGAGGAAAGAATGATGGTTACCATGCAAAGTACAGAGAAAATATTTAAAAGCATTTTTTGTTTTGAGTCAGGATCTTCCTATGTAGCCCAGGCTGGCCTTGAGCCCACAATGATCCTCCTGCCTCAGCTTCCTGAGTGCTGGGATTACAGGTGTACACCAGCCTCCACACCTGGCTCTGGAAAGGACTCGCTTGGTCTCAGATCTGACAACAATTCAAGGTAAACACATGTCCCTCCCCACTCCTACTTAGATTCCACACAGAGGTAGTAAGTTTGTCACAGTAAACTTCTCTAGTCAAATGGGGTGTCTGTGCAGATTTAGATATTCGCAAGTTCTTTTATGAGACAAGGTCTGTGTAGCCCAGGCTGAACTCAAACTTACTGAAATCCTCCTGCCTCTGCCTCCCAAGTGCTGGGATTACAGGGTGCCCCACCACACCTAGCTGCAATAAGTTTCTTGGTAGAGAACACATTGTTTAAAAGATCAAAATCTGGTAAAGAATTATCTTAGCAGTAAATGTCTGAAAAACAGTTATATTATTATTCCTTTAACAACAAAACTAACAAACTTACTGACTAATTAACAGGAGATCGATCTCAGCCGGGTCAATCAAATCGATGTAAGGAAGAGCATCCATTCCTTCCAGGCCAGGGTGGATCCCACAGTCCAGCTGAGAGGGAGGAAAATGGTCAGTCTCCTACACAGTTTAGGGAAATCCACTCAGCACACAGACAATAATTCAACTGATCCACCGCCTGCATAATTAAGACAGATTTCAAACAGGAGCACCTGGAATGCAACTCATTAAATATGGTGAGTATGACAGTAACAACTCCAACTTCCCAAATGAAAAATACAGCTCAAGCTGGGGGTGGTGGCTCATGACTCTAATCCTAGAACTCTGTGGAGGCTGAGGCAGGCAGACTGCCACAAGTTCAAGGCCAACCTGGGCTACACAGTGAGTTCAAGGCCAGTTTGAGTTACACAGTGAGACCCTGTCTCAACAAACAAACAGATCCTAAGAGGAAAAAAGCTCACACTTATGGCCACAGAATGTAAAATACAAGCTATCTTTCTAGCTACTTTTGGTGGTCACTCTAAAAATTCAGTAAGTCTTGTTCAAGAACTTCAAATCAGAAGATGGTTTCTAGTATCAAAGACGAGACTTTAAAACTGCGCATGTAGATTTTACTATCACCACGCCTGACCACTGTGAGAAGACCCTAACTACAGACCAGGCACCTCCCTGGTCAGGAAAGAATTTTGGGGACAAATTCTTAGGGCTGGCATTAAGCATACACTTATTTTACAGGGTGTGATTCCCAGTGATGACTGTGTCTGACAAATATTTGTCTTCAGCACTGGAAGAAGTAGCAAAGGAGAGGAATCACAGGAACCTGCCAAAGGGCACTGTCTTTCCAGCATGCACCTCAGGGAGCATCTCCTCCAGGGGCTGGGGAGGCAGCTCGAGTAGAGCACTTGCCTGGCAAGCCCTGGGTTCAATCCTTGGCAGAGAGGAAAAAAAAAAAAAAATCGTTCAGGTGTGGTGGTGCATGCCTGTAATCCCAGCACTCTGGAGGCTGAGGCAGGAGGATCGCTGTGAGTTCGAGACCAGCCTGGGCTACATAGTGAGTTCCAGGTCAGTCTCAACTGCATAGTGAGAGACTGTCTTAAAAAAACAAAAAACAAACAAAACAAAAAAATCTAATCCCTCAACTTCTCAGCCAAGGACATGGGCTCAGAGCAGTCAAGGTCAACCAGGACTTCGGAGAAACAAGCGTTCAGGAGCTCTAGCTGATGAACTGTAAAACTATCAACATTATCCTCCCACCTTCTTGGCTGATTTGATGCTCTGACAGACTCCTAAATAGAAGTGTGTATTTATTTTTCTCACTGACTGCAATGCAGCAGAACATCTGGGAGTGAAATCAATGTCTGGTCTACTGCAGAAGACCCAACACCCAACACAGGCAGAGCCATACTGTCCACCTCGTCCCTGGGCCGCACAGGACAAGCTTAGCAGCTCCAGGCCCAGCACCAATAACGACGATGGTGGTGACGATGATGATTACCATTATTTTTCTTCCTTTGAACTCCAGGATAATGCATGACCGTCCTACTTCCTGCCCAGCGCCACTGTAAATATTAAAATAAATCTGATTAAAAAACAATCCAAACTGACCCTAATAAATTCCAACTTTTTTTTTTTCTTTTTACAACTTTAACCACATCCTATAGGATGGCAGCCTTCCTATTTACAAAATTACGAAGAGAGGAAAGACATCTGTGAACACAGGAAAAGAGGAACAGAGAGCATCGGGGTTCAGGGAGTTTTCAGTTGTTAAAAGTGTGAGAGAGGGCTGGGGATCTAGCTCAGTAGTTCCACTACCTGCCTTGCAAGTGCAAGGTCCTGAGTCCAATCCCCGGTACCAAAAAAAAAAAAAGTGAGAGAGAAAGCGGTTCAGATCTGAGGAACCCAGGGTTAAATGAAGATGTTCTGAGAATGTGCGCCAGTAGTTACTAGGTTGTTGAACACTTTCATTAACTACAAAGCCAACCACTGCAAAGTTCTTTAAGATCCTGCTAAGCATTTACTACTCATACAGCTCAGGTTTTAATACTGTCAGGCAGCCCCTTTCCCATCTTCCGGTGAGGCCCCACCCTGCCCTTCCTCCAGGGATTCTGTCCCTGGGGCTCCTCAGGCCACTCTCTTCATTCCCAGAGTTCCCTACCTTCCAAACCTGTACCTGGAGACCAGGCTTTCATGAACACAAACCCCTGGCACCAATGTCCGCCCTGGAATCTCCCAAGCTCTGGGACTCAACTCCTCTTCACAGGGCCTCTGGCCTCAGAGACCGACGCCAAGTGGGCTCCTAGGTCTACTGTCTGGGTCTCACTCAGTTCAAATGTCACCTCCCTGCAGGCCTTCCCTGGACTGCTTCCTCTCACCTGTCCTTCACAGCAAGCCACAGACTGGCGTAACACTGGCGAGGACACAGGGTTACTGTGTTGCTTGCCGCTATACTAAGCTGGGAGGTGTACAGAAGAGACGGTCCTGTTCACTGCTGTAACTGCGACAGGGCCTCACGTGACTTAAATGTGTGGTGGCACAGACTCAGGAGACTGAGGCAGGACTGCAGAGTTCAAGGCTAGCCTGGGCTACAAAGCAAGACCCTCTCTGAAAAAATACATACAAAAATAAAAAAGATGCTTATCGACGAATACAACTTCCAAATTATGAGCCATGGAAACATGAGGGTCTGTGAAAGAAGCCAGCTGTGGAGGCGGGAAAAACGAGTGCGCTGTGAGGTTCGGTGGGTACAGGTTTCTTTTTGGATGGAGGAAGATAAAAATGTCCTGGAACTGGATCATAATGGCATCTGTACAATTGTGGAAATATACTAGAAACTACTGAGTTGTATACTTTAAGTAGATGACACACTGCTATTAAACCAAAAAAGCAAATGGACCCAGACCTCCTCAGCTTCTGTCATTTTGTGCGGTGCTAGAGATGGAACCCAGGGCCTGGTGTGCAGCAGGCAGAGCTACCCGTCAGACATCCCCTGGAGCTCCTGTACTCCAAGAGCAAGTAACACTGTGGAAACTGCCCAAAAGAGGAATGCGAATCATCCTCACCTCTGCCCTGTGTTCCATGCCAGCCCTTCAGATTGCATCTGATCAGTTATAAAGCCCCAAGGGTTTTGCTTCCATTCACACTTGGATTATTACGGTCATATCCTTCTGGATTCTTCCGTCTAATCCATCCATCCGTTTACCTACACTTCTGCAAGGACTGAGTTTTCTAAAGTGTAACTGCCACTGCATCTCAGCCTTGCTCAAAATCTTTTATTGGCTTCCTGTAACTATGAGAAAAGTCCAAATTCTGTAGTATGCATTGAGGTCCCTCATAAATTGGCCCCTGATACCCTATCCCACCCCATCTGCTAACCACGAAGAAACTGGAAACTGGGTGCAAGCTGTGAATGTCTTCATACATGCCACCCTGCCTGGCTTTCTACCTGTCACTTAGGACTTAGCTCGCACATCATTTTCCTAGGTTTGAGGTGTTCTCCTCTTCACTGTGTTAGAAATTCCTTTTCCATCTGGAGTGGTGCTGCACGCCTATAATCTCAGCATTTGGGAGGCTGAGGCAGGAGGATTGCAAGTTGGGGGCCAGCCTAGACCCTGACTCAAAAAACAAATTAAAAACTCTTTTCCATACTTTTGTGGCACTCAATGCAGGGGGCTACCTGTGCTATTGGAACAGCCGTTATGTAATGAGCACCTGCATGGTCTTTACTCCAAGTTATTCTTCCCACGTGAAGAAAGAGGTTTGTCTAACTCCAAAGCAATCACCTCCTATTTTTCCAAACTCTCTTCTCTTTCCATTTTGCACTGTGCTGCCTCCAAAAGGGAGAAATCAATGAACTTGGCCCTCTGTCTTATCTGTCTCCCCATGACTGATGCAGGGCTGGACACTTGCTCAGAGTTTACAGAATACAGGGACAACAGGTGCAAACTAAGCACAAGGAAACTGGGCTATGCTCCCAGTGGGTGTCCACAGAATCCTTACTGAATGACCGTGGAAAAGAGACACTTTCTACTTATTTCACAGTACCGGGGGTAGAACCCAGGGCCTTCTCACTGAGCTACATCCCTAGTCCTTCTAAACAGATTTATCTTGACACAGTGTCTTGCTCGGTTGCCTGGGTGGGGCTGGATTTTGCCATCCTCCTGCTTCAGCCTCCCAGACTGCTAGGATCACAGGTGTGGGCCACCACAGCCAGCTTACTTTCTATCTTTGGAAGAATGCACATTAACATGGTGTTAATATCTAATAGTGAACGGTAAAACATGTCTGTGGTAGCAAATGGCTCATCTATAGGAATACATTCTACACGTTTACACTTCCTCCCAGGCAGGAGGTCAAAGGCTATCTCCACTGAAGGGCTGATCTCCTTAGAGACGATGTAGGGTAACGTTTGGGTTCGTAACACTTCTGCTCTTTCTTCTCTCCAACCTTCCCCCTTATTCTACTAGGGTCTGAGCAGCGAAGGTAGACATTCACTCCAAGTCTCTGATTTACTCCCTCCCACTGCGACACAGTGGGTCCTGGTACTGACAGGAAACAGACCCCGCTGCCCCTTTCACCTATCGACTCCCTGGCCTGCCCTGGTGCGTGCGGTCCGGGTTAGTGCCACCTGATATCCCTTTTCATGGGGAAGGCGCCCAGCTGCCGGAAATAACTTTTTCCTGCTCCAACATACCCTCCCCTGAGACCGAAGAAAAAAAACTCAATCTCTTTCACCCTAGCAGCCCCTTCCGACCAGTTCGCCAAAGTCCCGGGCCCAAGCGGCCCGGCCACAGCTACACGCGGGAGCAGGACGACGGCCGGGCCGGGCTCGCCCGAGACCCTCCTGGCTCCCCGCAACCTGCGGCCCCACTCTCTGAGCGCCGGTCCCTTACAGGGGTCGGATCAGCAGCTGGTCGCTCTCTTCTGCAGGAATCGCAGACATTCTGGAAGGCTGAGAAGGGTGGGTGAGGAGCACGCTGGCGTCTAAACTGGAAACAGTCTGCAGCGAGCAAAGCTAGAAGAGACTCCATCCGTCTAGAGACAACTTCCGGCACGCTGGCGCCACGGCTCTAGGTTCCTCCCCAAGACGTCCGGTTGGAGAACCCGGTTCCAGAAGTTCCGCGCTACTCCAAGTCCGGAAGCCTAGGGGGCCCGGAGGACCGCGCGCACAGTCTCGAGGGCGTGGCCTTGGCGGACACTGGCCGGAGGGCTGGAAAAGCTGGCGCTGGAATTTAACCTGGAGTAGCTTCCCGGCCTCCGGTTGCCGTGCGCTCCGACTCCCCGCAGGGGAAGTGCAGGTGGCCTCGGGGACGCGGCCGCCAGGTGAGAGCCTTGGCCTGACCGCAGCC